GGAGAGACAGCGCAGGAGAGGAAGGCCCTCTATGAGGTGGATTGATTCAGTGACTGTTATAACTGGAATGGGAGTGTCAGAGACAGTGCGATTGGTACAGGAAGAGCAGAGTTTAGGGCTGTTGTACATAGGATCACTATGAGTTGCAAGCGACTCGGCGGCACATAACAACAGCAACAACAACAACCACATAATTAAAATTACTACAAAGAAAAGTAGATGAAAATTATTTCAGTTAATATGACCTCAAAAGAATGAGACGATGAGAAGTAGAATAGTGGAACAGAGCCCAGCATGATTGCTGACACATAAAGGTACTCATTAAATTCTACTTATTAAATAAGGATTTTTTTGATTTCTAATTATTTGTAGATTTGGGTGAAAGGTACTATTCTTAGTGTCCTGAAATATTAAGATAGGCTGATACCTTTATGTTAAAATACCTTCCTGAATAGGTAATATAAACCAACTTTTATTAAAGCTTTAGATTATTAGTTTTGCATTGCTTTCTTTATCACGTTTTCTCTTTGCTTTTGGATTAGATTTTAATTAATAATTTCAGGTGTTGAGAGATAATTCACCATAGAACTTGCATTTCTGTGCATTTTGTGAGCAGAGGCACTGCCTATTCTCTTTTGGACTATCTCTTCAAAGGCAGCAGATAACCTTTTGAGATAAACACAGTTCTTTCTAAAGTTTAGGTTTACTTTGGGAGTGTCTTTCTCCAGAGTAGAAGGCAGATGTGATTACTGTTTAACGAAATAAAGATATTCTCTTCCTGTAGGGCAAGGATGGTATTTCATTGTGGTTTTGATTTGCATCTCTCTTATTGCCATTGATTTTGAGCACTTCTTCATGTGTCGTCCATCTGAATGTCTTCCTCTGTGGAAATTCTTTCCATGTGTCATTTGCCCATTTTATCAGTCTTTTCTTTGTGGAGCCCCAGGAATATTTTGTAAACTTTTGTAATGAGACCCTTGTTTGAGATGATATTGCCAAATGTTTGTTTCCAGTTGGTAGATTTTCTTTAAACTCTGTTGGGAAAAGGGTTTGATGAGCACAGAGATTTAATCTTTAGCAAATTCCATTCTCAGTTTTATCCTCTCCAGACAGAGATTTGTACATCAATGTTCATAGCAATTCATTCACCATCTCAAGAACATGGAAAAAGCTCAAATGTCCAACCACAACTGAATGGATTGAGGACTTGTGGTATATTCACACAATGGAATTCACAGCACTCAGGAGCAACAATTTAGAAGAATATTATATAACTCGAGAGAGACTGGAGAGCATTATCTCAAGTGAATGAACTCAATCTCATAAAGACAAATACTGCATAAGACTGTTACTATAAAAATAGAAGGATAACTAGAAAAACATGTATGGGGATCCAAGGGAGAAAGGAGTGGAAGCAGATGTTTGAGGCAGAGATGAAATCATAGGGTTGCACAATTTGGTGGGTGGAGGGAGAGGGTAAAAGAAACAGGAAAGATCTGGTGGGGACCTGAAAAGACAGGGTAATAATGGGCCTAATCCAATGGTTATTAATTTTCTAAAACATAATGTATGAAACACAGTATGAATGAAGAATAGCGTGAAACACAATGTATATGATCTTTGTAAGCAAACCAAGATAATTTTTTTTAAAAAAAAGATATGGTGTGTCTGAATAACCTCTTGGCAGGGGTGATGTGTGGAGATGAACAGAGGCTGTGAGGGGAGATAGATGAAGATGGTAGAAGAACGATACCATAATATTTCAAAGCAGCCTAAAGTAACTCATGTTTATCAAAAGCTGTATTGGACTCTACCATCTTGAAACTTCTTAACTTTTTTTGAGACAGAGGTCAACATTTTTGTAAACAATCTGCTCTGGACTCCTCAGGGCCTTATTTAGTGTGACCACATTGATTGCTGATGGCTGAAAGTGAGTATGATTATTCTGGAAAAAAAACTGATAGCAGAGTCCAGCTTATTGGGTCACTCTGTTTATCCTTCTGTCCCCAAGTCCATACCTTCCTTAATATTACTTAAGTGGCTCTGGCAACATGCAGGGCCTCAAAAGTCTCAGTGTGCATGACCCTTCTGACCTCTGTATAATTTGACTATTTTAATGCTGCCTTTGGGAATGTTGCCTACTTTCATGTATGGGGAGAACAATCAGAGTTGTTTAAGAGATGTGCGGTAACTTCTTGTTAGCTTCATGGTGAAACCATTTTATTCTGTTTTATATCATAGGGACTTTCATCAGGCGTCATCGAATTTCTCTCCCACCTCCTAATGAGGACCAATTTTATACTGTATATCATTTCAATATCAACATAGACATTGTCTTTTATGGTAGAACATTCAAGATTTATGACTGTGATAAATTCACAGCAAACTTTTTGAAAAAAATAGGAGTCAAATTAAATTCACCAGTGAAGTGCCCAGAAGATCCTTATATGAAAGAACGGAAAGAGGTAAGAAGCTAGTACATTTGAAAGTTCTGGTTTGCCAAATGAGAATTCTTTGTTGTTGTTGTTTGCCATCAAGTCAAGCATGGTTCATAGTAACCCTATGAACAAAAGACTTGAAGTCTTTCTATTAATATCATCGTTCCTCAAACTTTATAAAGTTTCCAGAGGCAAGTTGTTTAGGAAGTGGAAGAGTTAATAAAGGGCATTGATACTACTGAAGTAGTTGTGAGAGCTTTTGAGAGCCATAGTTTATGTTTTATTCTCCATTGAGCTAGAGCTTTGAAAGGGTGAATGTCAATATCAGTGCAGGAATGACTTTCTCCCTTTCTCTTCACGAGTTCTCTCATTCTTCCCTGCTTTCTTTCACTGTTACCTGGATTTGTCTCCCTTCTAGCATCCTCATTCCCATTCCTGCCTCCACTCTTTCACTCTCTTTCCCACCCCCATCACTCTTTCTTCCTCTCCCTCATGGAGAGTGTTCCTTCTAGGCAATAGAAGTCTTTAAGTGAGCCACTGAGGCAGGATAATTTCTAGGAGTCCAAGATGGGCTTTGTGGTTACTGTTAGTGTAAAAATTTGGCCAGCACTTGCCCATCTTGTCTTTTACATTTTACATTTCAGTTGCATAAAAATCTTTGTGTCTTAGAATTTATTTATTGAATCAAACTTTGGGTATAACTATTCATTCTTCCTTGTGGCTCCCAACTTCTCATTTGGTGGCACTGGATGCAGAGATTGAATAGAAGAATTAGGAGGGGTGTAATTTTTGATGTATCCTCATTAGAGAAGGATACTTGTTTTCCAGGTCTGAACACGTTAACAGAAGAAAGAATCAGTAGTACTAGTATTATTGTTTTATTTTTAAAGTTGTGGTCTAGATTTTATATTACACTAGAAAGATTATTTGTTAGTGGATAACTCTCACAGTTTCCTTGCTGGAACATTAAATCTCTTGATTCTTACCCTGATTTTCATTATTGTAATTGGTTTTCTGTTTCTTTTCTTATTGAAGTATGATTATATATAGTAAAATGCACAGAAATTAATATATAATTGGATATCTTGAAAGAAATTTCTATAACTCACACCCAAGCCATGATATATAACATTTATATACTCCCAGAAAATTTCTTTTTTACTTATTCCAATCAGTCTCTGTCCTCACCTCAGAGCAACCACTGTTTACATTTCTACTCCTATGTTGTTGTTGTTGCTGTTATGTACCATTGAGGGACCTGCAACTCTTTGTACAACATCCCTAAACCCTGCTCTGTCCTGTGCCAATCTTATTGTCTCTGACAAACCTATCTGCATTATCCCAGTCACTGAATCAATCCATCTCATCGAGGATTTTCCTCTCCTGCATTGTCCCTCCACCCTTCCAAGCATGATGATGTCCCTCTCCAGAGACTCGTCCCTCCTTGCAACATGTCCAGTGTATGGTAGACGAAGCTTCAGAATCCTTGCCTCCAAGGCTCAGCCTAGTTTAACCCTCTCCAGGACGAACCTGTTCATTCTCTTAGGAGTCCATGGTATGGATTAGTTTTATAGTTTTAAACTTTGTAATTAATTTCCTTGCAGAGAGAGAATGCAGAAAACTTAGAATAAAATTATTTGATTTCTTATTAAGAGCTGCATATAGGTTCATTCATCCATTACAGCTCAGAAGTCCCAGCAGAAATATTCTTTAATGTTATAGACATACAGTTCTTCTGAGAAGTATATATTATTGGTCTTAGAATATCTAAAGTTAAATGACTGTGGCATTATTCCTATATGTATTGACAAGGAAAATACAAAGGCATTTGACTGTGTGGATCACAACAAACTGTGGCCAACTCTGAGAAGAATGGATATCTCAGAACACTTGATTGTGCTTATGCAAAACCTATACTTGGAACAGAAGGCTGCCGTCAGAACTGAGCAAGAAAACACTGTATGGTTCAAAATTGGGAGAGTGTATGCCGTAATGTATCCTGTCTCCATACCTTTTCAATCTATATACAGAACAGATCATCTGGGACGCTGGGCTTTATGAGGAGAAATGTGGCATCAGGATTAGTGGAAGACTCATCAAGAATCCGCGTTATGTAGATGACACAATTCAGCTTACTGACACTGAGGAGGACCTGAAGCACCTGTTGCAGAAGGTCAAAGACTGCAACCTTCAATATAGATTGAAGCTCAACATCAAGAAAAGAATGATTTCTCACCACTGGACAGATTGGCAGCATCATGATACATGGTGAAGATATTGAAATTATTAACAGCTTTAGTTTACCTGGCTCCACAATCAATCCTTTTGGTACCAGCAACCAGGAAATTAAAAGACAAATTGCATTGAGGAAAGTCTGCTGTCAGAGACCTCTCCAAAGTACTGAAAAGCAATGATATCTCTCTGGAGACTAAGTGCACCTGATCCAGTCTGTAGTCTTTGCAATTACTTGCTATGCATCAGTAAGCTGGACAATGACTAGGGATGATAGAAGGAGAATTGCTGCCTTTTAGCTGTGGTGCTGGAGAAGAGTATTTAATATACCATGGACCGCTAGGAGAACAAACAGGCTTGTCCTAGGGAGGGTGAGACCTTGTACACAAGGACTCTGAAGCTTCGTCTGACATATTTTGGACATGTTGAAAGTCAAGACCAGTCCTTGGAGAGGGACATAACACTTGGGAGGGTGAAGGGAAAGGACAAGAGAGGAAGACCTTTGATGAGATGCATTGATTCAGCTACTGGGGTAACAGGAATAGGTATGTCAGAGACAATAAGATTGGCATATGATAGAGCAGGGTTAAGGGCTGTTATACATATAGTCACTATGAGTTGCAGGTGACTTGATGGCACATAATAACAACAGCACTGACATGGAAGGTTTAGGTTTGTATATATTTTCTCCATATGTCCTGGGTGGAAAAGGTCTAAATAAGTAAAAACATTTTAGCAGCAACAAAAAGAATCTAAAAAATAAGTCTATATAAATTACTGTCTCTTGCATAGAGCTGTACTCATTAAGAGTTGATATGATGACAGTGCCAAAGAGGGAGAAATTGAGATTTTTTACCAAATTTTGCAATCTAAAATTGACTGAATATGCAATCAAGATGCATTAATGATAATTGGCAACTGGAATGCAAAAGTAGGAAACAGTGAAGAAGGAACAATAGTTAGAAAATATGGGCTTGATGATAGAAATGAGGCTAGAGATTGAAAGAATTTTGTATTTACAATGATTTGTTTATTGCAAATACTTTCTCTAAATGACACAAAAGACAACTTTACATGTGGATTTCACCTGATGCGCTGCATAGGAATCAGAGTGACTACATCTGTGGAAGAAATCATTGGAGAAGCTCAATATCAGAAGTCAAAACTAGGTCAGGGGCAGTCTGTGGGTCAGATCATCAATTACTCATATGCAAGTTCAAATGGAGGCAAAAGAAAAATAAGTCCACAGGAACCAAGGATCAATTCCATCAGAATTTCATGATCATCTTAAAAATAGGTTTAAGGCATTGAACACCAATGATAGAGGAGTTGTGAGATGTTATCCATGAGGAAAGCAAAAAGTCATTACAAAAATGGATGGGAAAGAAAAAGTAAAAATGGATGTCAGAAGAGACTCTAAGAATCAAATCCCTATGCACATCCAAAAAATTCTCCAACAGGGTAAAAAGGGAAGGCACAGATTGGGAAAACAATATTTGGTAATGACATGTCAGATAAGGGTTTTATATATAGAATTTATAAAATACTTGAGCACCACAGGAAGATAAAGGTAAACAACCCAATTGAAAAATGTGCACAGAATATGAACAGACACGTCACCAAAGAAGACATTCAGATGACAAACAAATACATGAAGAAATGTTCAAAATCCCTAGCTCAAACCAACTATGAGATATCATCTCATTCCAGTAAGAATAGCAAAATTTAACAGATCAGCAAACAACAAAAGCTGGCGAGGTTGTGGAGAAACTGGAACTCTTATTCACTGTTGGTGGGAGTGTGAAATGGTGCAACCACTATGGAAGGTTGTACGGCGCTTTCTCAAAAAGTTGCAAATAGAAATACCATTTGACCCAGCAATTCCACTACTGAGAATTTACCCTGAATAAACCATAACTGCCACCCAAGCAGATACATGCACACCTAGCTTTATTTCAGTTTTGTTTGTGATAGCAAAGAGCTATAAACAACCCAAGTGCCCATCAACAAAACAAATGGGTAGAAAAGCTCTGATATATTCACACAGTGGAATACTATGCTGCATTGAAAAACAAGGAATTCATGAAATATTACACAGAATGGGAGAAACTGGAGAACATTATGCTGAGTGAATATCTCAAGTCACAAAAAGACAAATGTGGCATAATGCCACTGTTATAAAAGAAGATATAGAGGTTGTGGGGAGACTGAGAAAGATGGGATAAATTATGTATACTCCATTGAAACAGATGAGGTTAAAGAACTGTGTTTAAAAGGGATATATGATTAGATATTATTGTTATGACAGGAGTCCAGAATGAAGGTAGCATAGTGGAGTGGACTTGGAGGGGAAGGATTGAATAACAATGAAAGAATTTTTTTCTTTTACTTTCCAAAAAGAAAAGCAAATTGGGGAGGGAGAGAGATGGGCAAAAGTGCAACAATGAATGAATGGAAATCCAAAGTCTCTGTAAACTTTCATTAGAATACATTTAAAATACATAAAATAAAAAAAGAAGAGACTCTAAAGATTGCACCAGAACATCAAATAGACAAATCTAAAGGAAAGAAATGTCAGAGTGAAAGAGCTAAACAGATGATGTCAAAGGGCAGCTTGGGAGGTCATAGCAAATTATTTTAGTGGAATTGGAGAATAAAAAGGGAAGACCCCGCTCTGTATTTCTCAAGCTGAAAAACTGAAAAACGAATTTAAGCCTCATGTAGCAATGTTGAAAAATGCTCTGGGCAATATATTGAATGACTCAGAAGGCATCTAAAGAAAATGGAGGGAATTTACAGAGTCACTGTATCAGAAAGAATTGATTGGCACTGAAAAATTTCAGGAAGGACCATATGAACAGGAGTCATTGGTAATGAAAGAGGAAATGGAAGCTGCATTGAATCCATATTGACAAAAAATGAGGTCCCAGGAATCGATGGGGTACCAATTGACTTGTTTCAATTAACAGTTGCAGCCTTGGATGCACTCATCAGTCTAAGCCAGAAAATTTAGAGGATGGCTGTCTGGCTAACGAATTGGAAGATATCCATATTTGTTCTTATTCCCAAGAAGGGCGATCCCACTGAATGTGGAAATTATTGAACAATATCATTGATATCACATGCAAGCAAAATACTGCTGAGTATCATTTAAAAAATGTATGAAACAATATATAGATAGGAAATTGCCAGAAATTCAAGAGGGATTTAGATGAGGCCGTGGCACCAGGGGTATCATTGCTGATGTCAGATGGATCCTGGCTGAAAGTAAGGAATACCAGAAGAATGTCTGTATATGCTTTATTGACTATGCAAAGGTTTTTGACTGTGAGGATCATGACAAGTTGTGGCTGACATTGAGAAGAATGGGAATCTTGATTGTGCTGATGAGGAACCTGTACCTGGATCAGGAGGCTGTTGTGCAAATGGAGCAGAGAAGCATTACATAGTTTGGAACTGGGAAGGGATTGGGTCAAGGATGTATTCTATCTACATAAATATTCAATCTGTATGCTGAGCAACTTATACAAGAAGCTGAACTCTATGAAGAGGAAGGCGGCATCAGGATTTGAGGGAGACTCATCAATAACCTGCATTACTTAGATGACACAACCTTGCTTGCTAAAAGTGAAGAGGACTTGAAGCACTTCTTGCAGAAGATCAAGTAATGCAGCCTTCAGTATGGCATCTCAATATCAAGAAAACAAAGATTCTTAGAGGAGATTGAAACAATGAAACTGTCAACAGCTTCATCTTGCTTGGATCCACAATTAACACCCATGTTAAGAGCAGTCAGGAAATATGGAGACACATTGCACTGGGAAAAACTGCAGGTTAGGGACCTGTCCAAATTTTTGAAGATTGGTGATGTCAGTTTGAGGACTAAGGTGTGTCTGATTCAGGTCACAGTGTTTCAGATTACTAGCTATGCATCTGAGATATGAACAGTGAATAAGGATGACAGAAAAAGAACTGATGCCTTTGAGCTGTGGTGTTGGAGAAGAGCACTGAACATTCCTTGGACAGCCAAGAGAACAAACAGCTATGTATTGGAGAGCGTGCAGCTGGAGTGCTCTTTGGAGGCATGAATGATGAGGTTTTTGCTCACATACTTTGGATATATTGTTAAGAGGTGTTATTTCTTGGAGAGGAACATGACATTGGAAAAGATGGAGGGTCAGCAAGGAGAGGAAGACCCACAACTAGGTGGATTGACACAGTGACTGTTGCAGTAGGCTCTTCTGTGTCAGGAAGTGTGAGGATGGTGCAGGACAGAACTAGGTGCAGATTTTGTGTTCATAGGGTCTCTATGAGTCATACTGGACTCGATGGCACCAAACAATAACAACAGCATGACATGTTCTTAAGTTTGAATGATGATGCATAAATGAAACAGAACACTGTGATATTTCAAAGATTTCTAAAAAAAATCTGTTTTGTGCCAGGAATTGAGAAAATCAGCAAAGAAATATTTTAAATAATTTTCTTTTAGATTGGGAGAATCATTTTAGCATTTATTCCATCAGGAAGTAAAAACCTTCAGTAAATATAGAAATCTGTGGAAAACTAGGAGTTTAATAAGCTTTTTTGTGTTTACTTCTTTTGTGTTTTCTGACTTGAAATGTAAAGTTAAAGCTAAGCAATTTAACTTTAACTGAAAATACTCCCAAAGGTATTTAATCAATATTGTATTTTGTAGAGCCTTACAGAGCTAATGAAAGAAACATTTTTCAATTGTTATAGAGGTCCTATACTTTAATAGCCAAAGAAAGAAGAGACTGAAAAATATTGAACATATACCTGTCTGGGCAGATATGAAATATCAAAAATTTACCAGTAAGAATACATAACTCAAATTTGAAAAATAGTTGAGTTTCCAATTAGTGATTTCCAGTTAAAGCTTCCTTGAATACAATCTTACTTAGCAACATGTAGGTATAATTGGTATAGTTTTTCTCTAAGATATGACTGAAGTTATGCAAAGAGGGAAGAGTTAATTGGTTCTAGTGGTAGAGCATAAAGCCTGGGCAATATTACTATGCCAATTCAGAAATACTCCATTTGCTTTGCTCACATTTGCATTGGGTTTTCATATCCTCAGTGTCTCAAACTTAATGAGCAAAAGAAAACCTTAAATATGTTTATTTGCTTGCCTTCCTGAAAACCTTGGAATGAGTAAGAAAGATAAAATTATAGATAAGATTTTCCAGAGAAAACACAAATGGTGTTTTCAGTTGAAATATAATTAAGTCAGGATCACGAATCTTAAGTTGTCAATGACTTGATAAATGTACGTGATTGAATAACCAACATGAAACTCAGTATTTAGAGTAGTTTTGTCACCCCAGAAATTTCCCTTGTCCCCCTTTCTATTACTATTCTAACTTCTATCACCAAAGATTAGTTTTTACCTGTTCTTAAATGAGAATTTTAAATCTTTGAGGAAAAAACCATTTTTAAATATATTGCAGATATATAATATACTAAAATAATGTTTAACATGAAAGTAATCTTAATAGTTTCTTGTCTATATTTTTATGGTATGTCATAATAATTTTAAAATTTTTTAAATATCACAGAAAAATCTATAGAAATTTTTTATTACATTTGATTGTTTGCATCCCAGAAGTGATTATGCAAAATGCAGAACAATTATTTAACTTTTCTTCATTTGCAGATGGCAGATCGCTTGCAGCCTTTACGTCCTTATGAATATGACAACACCCTGAAGCAGTTCCTTGAGCATGATAGACAGGTTTTACGTTTCTTCTGCATGTGGGATGATACAATCTCACTGTTTGGGGACCGTAGAGAACTCATCCTCCATTACTTCTTGTCTGATGATACCATTGAAATCAAAGAATTGATGCCACCCAACTCAGGCCGGGATGCTATGTCATTGTTTCTCCAGAGGAAGAAGCTACCCAAGGTGAACAATGGTACATTACCACTTTCAGAGTTTGCTTGTAAGCTAAAAGATTCAAGTCATCATGTGGATTGCCATGTGTTATGAATATGTGATGGTATTTACCATATTGTTGTTATTAATGTGCTGTCAAGTGGACTATAACTCATAGCAACCCTATGCACAATAGCTCTGAACCCTGCCTTATTCTGAGCCAATATCACTGACTCTGACACACCTACCTCCGTGACCCCAGTTACTGTGTCAATCCAACTCACCTAGGATCTCCTCCCCCGGTGGGAGATCCTCAAGCATACAGGAAGAATGTCCATCTACAAGAACAAAATCCCCAGAGCAACACGAACAAAGTATGTAAGAAAGAGCATAAACCTCAGTGCCACCAAGAAACACATAAGCCGCACCCAATCCAAGACAGACCAAGGAGTGAGCTGGGAAGCTCACGGGAGATTCAAGAAGATACTCCAGCAACACAACCAAAACTATCAATTAAAAAGACAGCCATAGCCACACTCAACCGATCTCATGTACAGCAAAAAAGGCAGAAGACCATAGGCAGACGGGATCAGGTCCACATTAGCAGCTAGACTCAAATCATCGATCAGTAGCACACCAGAAACACACCGAAAAGAAAACCATGGCAAGACAGGAGAATATAAAAGCAGAAAAAGAGAGACCTCCTACCTGGGTGATATTAACAAGAAAGCAGTCACCTACCAACCGCAACCACCCAAAACAAAAAAAATGGGAGATTGAACCTACCAACAAGCAGAACAAAAGAATGACTCCTGGAAATCGGATTCCAAGAAATGAAAAAATGACCCAAGGCAGTATAAACAGCACAACAAGAGTCAACATGACTAACAACGAACAAGAGAGAAACTGCACAGCTCCAGTACGAATACAAACCCATGAAAAAAAGTCAGAGAACATGCAAAGAACAAATACAGCATGCTGGGGGTAAGGCAAACAAAGAAATAATAAAACACAAGAGAAAATACCAACAAGAGAATTGACAATCACACCTACAAACCTAAATTCAAACCGAGAAAAAAAAGAAATCAAAATCATGGCTGGAAGTGGACACTGGACCCTGCCTCCTAGAGCAAGCGGACAACTATGAACAATAGCAACACACACAAACACACACAAACACACACACAAACAACCATAAAAACCGCAAAGAGAAAGAATGCAACATCAACTCCCAATACAAAGAACACCAAAATCCGACGATGCCCAAACCCCTAATACAAAAACGAACAATACAACATATAACAGAAGAAATCAGACCAGACACCCTTAAATAATCCCCCTAAACAAGAGAAAGACAACAAAACGAAACACCAAGAGCAATGTGGACTCCAAGGCATCACGAAAGACACTTGGAAACATAGAAAAAAGTCCCTGCGAAACCAAAGGTGTGAACAAGTAGAAGCAGGTGCAAAGAATGGGGAAAAACCAGAGAAAAAGAAAAGAAAAGGAACATGTGCGTCGGGGTAGGCGGGACAGTGAAGTTAATGGTAAGAACTACAAGGAAACTATCTCTCATCTGAAACGAAAAAATAATACCCGATAAGAAACCCACCCAACAATAAGCAACCCAATTAAGACAAACGAAGAAGAAGAATCGATAAGCCACGACTGAAATAAAAAAGGCTGCAAAAACCCAAAGGACAGCAAAGCACAAAGAGAGTACAATAAGAGAGACAGCAACACAAGGTGAACCCACAAAGGAGAAAACACAAACAAAGAAAAACACTGGCAAAAAGAAATCAACAACTAGTACATGAAATAGGAGAAACAGGAGTGGAGAAAAAGCAGAAATGAAAAAGAAAGAAAAGGAACACATAAAGATAGATAGACCAGGAAATAGTGAAACGAGAAGGAGTGGTATTACCGTTACAAGCTCTCGAGTCGCAAGCGACCCAGACAGACACTAAATACAACAGCCCGAAACTCCACGCAGGCCGGGAACAACCAAATAGTCGTCCATTTCCTCTAGGTTTTCATTTGCTTGAGTATAATTTTTCATAATATTCCAATGTTAACCTTTTAATTTTAGTTGGTTCTGTTGTGACATTGCCCATTTCATCTCTTATTCAAAATTATTCGTGTCTTTTCCTTCTTTTTTTTGTTAGTTTTGCTAGTGGTTTGTCGATTTTATTGACCTTTTCAAAGAATCAACTCCTTGTTTTGCTGATGGTTTCAGTTCTTTTTCTGTTTTCTAATTCATTTATTTCTGGTCTAGTTTTTATAATTTCAGGGTTTTTTTTTAGAAGGTGTCAGGTTTTCTTGCTGTTCTTTCTCAATTTGTTGGAGATGTTGGGCTCAAGAGTCAATGATCATTTTTCCCCCTACCTTTTGATATTTTGGCTTATTGCTATAAATTGACCTCTTATTACTGTTTTGGCTGTTTCTCAGAGTTTTTGGTAAGTGGTGTTTTCAATGTCATTTGTTTCAAGTAACTTTTTAATTTCATTTTTTATTTCTTCTAGTACCCACTTATGTTCAAGCAAGGTGTTGTTCAGCTTCCAAATGTATGGGGGGTTTTCTTTCCTTTATCCTCCTGTTATTAATTTCTAATTCTATAATATTGTGGTATGAGAAAATGCTTTGTATTATTTCTATGTTTTTTAATTTATTGATGCTTGCCTTGTGACCTAGAATGTGATCTCTTCTGGACAACATTCCATGCGCATTGGAGAAGACGGTATACTGTGTTGTTTGGGGGTGCATTAGCTTAGAAATATCTATGAAGTACAGTTGGTTTACTCTGTGGTTTAATTCTTGTGCATCTTTGTTAAGTTTTTTTCTGATAGTTCTGTCCTTTCTTGAGAGTGGTGTATTGAAGTCTCCAACTGCTATAGTAGTGTTGTCTATTTCCTTTTTCAGTTTTGTTAATGTTTGTTTAATATATTTTGCAGGTCTTTGGTTTTGTGCATATATATTTATTATTGTTTTGTGTTCTTGTTCTATTGTATTGCATTATGTAGTGACCTTTCTTGCCCTTTGTGATAGTTTTGCTTTGACATTTATTTTATGGGAGATTAATATTGTTACTCCTGCTTTTTCTCTGGTTGCCATTTGCTTGGTATATTTTTCCCATTCTTTTATTTTTAATCTTTCTTTATCTTCATTTTTCAGGTGTGTCTCTTTTGGTTTTTTTATCCAATCTGCTACTCTTCTTCTCTTCAGTGATGCATTCAAACCATTCACATTCAGTGTGATTATTGAAAGGCAGGGTTTTATTGCTATCATTTTATTGAGTTCTTTTGGTGTTGTTGCTAGTAGCATTGGTCCATCGTGCTTTCTGTGGTACCTCTGTAAGAAGGGCATCTCTCAGTATTTCTTGCAACACTGGTCTTGTTTTTACAAACTCTCTTAGGTTCTGTTTTACTGGGAATATCTTGATCTCTACCTCATATTTGATGTATAATTCTGCTGGGTACAGTATTTTTGGTTGACAGTTGTGTTCTTTGAGTGTTTGATATATGTCCTTCCACTCTCTTCTTGCTTGCATGGTTTCTGCTGAGAAATCTGCACTTAATCTTATCTGTTCTCCCTTATACCTTACTCTTTTCTTCTCTGTTGCTTCTTTCAGGATTCTCTCCTTATCTTTGGTTCTGGCAAATTTAACTATGATATGCCTTGATGTTTTTCTTTTGGGGTCTAGTCTATATGGTGTTCGCTCAGCTTCTTGAATATATGTTCTCTCATTCCTCATTGTGCTTGGGAAGTCTTCCTCTAATAATTCTTCCACCACTTTTCGGTGCCTTTACTTGCTTCTTCCTGTTCTGGATTCCAATGATGCAAATATTATTTCTCTTGATGGTGTTCACATTCTTAAGTTTTCTTCTTTTTCCTTCCTTTTCTAGTCTCCTTTTTGTTCTAGCAGATCGTTGGTGACAATTCTATCTTTATTTCAGTGGTTCAGTGTTCCATTTCTTCAACTCTGCTCAGGTGTCCCTTCATCATGTTGACAGCATCTGAAACATTGGACCTCATATTTGGATCATGGTTTCTTGTTTTTCCAGTGCTTCTGATGCTTCATTTGTTTTATCTACATTGTTCTGAAATTTTTTAAGCTCTTCCTGGTTTTTTCTTGTAGTATCCTGTATGTAATTCTTCAAGTTTGTCTTTCGTCCATTGAAAATATTCAATCATTGTTCTTTTAAATTCTGTGTCAGAAAGTTCCATCAGACTATTTGGCTTCAGGAAATCCATTGATACCGTGTCACTCTTTGGGGGTAACATCTTGCTTTGCACTTTTGTAGTGTGCGAGATAGCTTGCTTTTTTTGAGACTTGATATGTTCTTGATCTGAAGACAAAGCTCTAGAGATCAGTTGGGCAGCTACTCCACTTGTGTTTTTCTCTGAACTTGTGACTCAAGGGAAAGGTCAATTCAGAGCCTGTGAGAGCAGTCTCTTATAGGTATGTCAGGCCAAGGTGCTCTGGATTAAAGACAAATTGATTGACTGGATGTGTAGGTACAGGTGTGGAGCCAAATGGGATGGAATAGGTATGAGGATAGGGTAACCACTTGGAGGAGTCAACCACTTGCAAGTCCTGACTCAGCCTCAGGTGTCCGGGTGTACTCACGATTTGGGTCCCTACTAAAATTCCAGCTGTCTGTCTCCCACCCAGTGGTTTTCACACAATGGTCCCTGCCCAGCAGCACTTACCCAAGTGCCCTAGTGCAGTTGCCTCTACCCAAGGAGGGTCTTGAGTCCAGCGGGACCCGAGGAGATTCATTCAAATTCTCACCAACTCACTTGCCTCTTGATGGTCTGTGGTGTCCAAAAAAGTTTAGTCAAATTCCCACTGGCCCTCTCATTCCTGGGAAGTTGGTGTGACCCAAGAGAGCTCAACCAAATTCCTACCAGTGGACTTGCCCTTGGGTGCTCTCCCAGGCAATTGGTGGTACCCAAGTGAACCCAGTCAGGATCCTACCAGCCCTCCCAATCGTGAGTGGTCGGTGGGGGCACAGAAAAATTCAGTCAAA